TAATTGTATATATAGTTAAAAACCTTCCCACACAGAAAACTATGACACAGATGTCTCCGCTGATTAATTCTATCATGCATTTAAGGAAAAATAATATTCTGTATACACAAACTCTCCTAGAAAATTGAAGAGGAAAGAATACTTTCCAAGATATTCTATAAGGCCAACATTAGCCTGATTCCAAAACCAACCAAATACATTACATGAAAACTACAGACCAATGTCCCTCATGAACACACATGTAAAAATCCTAAAAAAATTTAGCAAATCAAATCCAGCAATATAATAAAAGGATTATACATAATAACTAAAGGAAGTTTATCCAGTATATGCAAGGTTGGTTTAATATTCAGAAATCCATTTTGCATACAATATTAATAAACTAAAAAATATAATATCAGTAGATGTAGAAAATGCATTTGACAAAAAGCCAACATCAATTCCTGTTTTAAAAGAAAAGACAACACTGCAAACTAGAAATAGAAAAGGGAACTTACTCGACTTGGTAAAAGAAGCATCCACAAAAGACCTACAATCAACATCACGCTGAGCGGAGAGACTTTCCCCATAAGATCAAGAAAAAAGCAAGGCTATTTGTTCTCACCACTTAACACTGTACTGAAGGTTCTAGCAATAAGGCAAGAAAAAGAAATAAAAGACATCTAGATAGAAAGAAAGAAATAGAATTATTTCTATTTCCAGATGATATGACTATGGGGAAAATCCAATGGAATCTACATAAAAAGAAACTAGAATAAGAAAGCTAAGCAAGTTTGCAGAATATAAGATCTACATGAAAAAACCAATTATATTTCTACATACTAATACTATTTACAATTGCATCAAAAATATGAAATACTTATGAATAAATCTGAAAAATATATGCAAGTCCTATCCACTGAAAATTACAAAAAATACTACTGTCATATTTTGTGAGACCTAAATAAATGGATACACACACATATACCTGCCTTGTTCTTGGGTCAGAAGATTCAGTATTGTTAAGATGTACATTCTCCTCAAATTGACTTATAGATTTAACACAATCCCAGTCAAAGTCCCAACAGGTTTTTTTTTTGTACAAGATGATACTAAAATTCATATGGAAACGCAAAGGATCTAGAATAGCCAAAACAACTCTGAAAGAGAAAAATAAATTTGGAGGACTAACACTACCTGATTTCAAGATATTATAAAGCTACAGTAATCAAGACAGTATGGTACTAGCACAAAAAAAGACAAATAGATCAGTGAGTCAGAGAAAAGAGTCCAGAACACACATATATGGGCAACTGATTCATCCAAAGGTGCAATTCAATGGGGAAGCAATCACTGACAAATGTTGCTAGTACTACTGAGTTTCCACATGCAAAAAAAAAAAAAGAACTTTAATCTACATCTCACATAATATACAAAAAC